TCGATTCAGATGATATCTCAAAAATTACTAAAAATCAATTTATATATCCAAAATTGAGTAGCGCGACATCTATTATCATATATCGCGATATTCATTATTATTCTATTTATCTATATTTCATTTATCTAGATCTCATCAGAAATATTTTTTATTATATCTATTATATTTCTCTATATATATCATTCATTATTGATATTTTTAAGAAATTATCATACTGTTCATTTCATATCATCTAATATTATATAGATATCTTTCTAAATAAGAAAATTATATTTAAATATTAAAATATTAGTGGGACCCGTCCAAATATTAGCTTGCGTGATTTTTTATTCATATTATTTAGAAAGAAATCATCGATTCTATCGACGACCTCTTAAAATTTAGCAATATCCATATATATATATATGTGCACAGGTAGAATCAATAAATTCATGAATCAAATATATCTAGATTTATTCCATTATATAGAAAATCATAGATATAGGTAGATAGAAAATTAAATAGACAGGCAAGATTAATCTATGAATTTATTTAATAATATACGGCCTAGGGTTGTGCGATCACTTCCTTCGGCACGACATATTTCCTTTTAGGAAATTATTGAATTCCTATAAATAGAAGTCCAGATATCTAAGATTTCTAAGAATTTTACGAATCTCTACACGCAAAATTTCTCGATAATTTTTATAATTCTCCGATTTAGGATTTCGATATATATCTCGAAATATGTACATAAGTACTATGGGTACATATACCGATATATATCGATTTTATCTCTATTTTTTAAGGGCGTATTTATATTTCATAGAATTCTGTAATTATCTATATATATATTAATATTTTTCTTTTTCTCGATCTGTGTATTTACACGTTCGTATAATTATTTATTTCTTCCTCCTAATTATATTTCTTTCAAAAATATATTAATTCATTTTTCGACGAGCGTACCCATTTCATCAATCTCTTAGTTACTCATCTTTTGGTTCATATTTATTATTATGCCTATGTATCTATTTTCGTATCATCTAAAAGTTTATTAACCTTGCCTTTCAAATTCATCATTTATCTATCTACTCATAAATTTACGCGTCCTCATTATTCTTAATTATCATATAAATCTCAATATCCTCCTTACTCTTCTTTCAAGAATAGAAATTTAAAATAATACCCATATATAATTTTTTCATTTTTCATGTCTAATATCCTAATGACATAATATTATCATCCAAAATATTTTATTATTCGATATCTCGCCTAGAGATAAGTTTTTAATAAACTACTAAATTCATAAAAGAATATATATATTTGAATTTATATATCTATATATCTCAAGTCGTATAAAGATCATCATATTTCATCATATTCTATTTTATTTCTTCTAATATTCAGATATCTATTCTAACCCAAAAATGAATGTGCTTCAAATCTAAGAAATTGAGATGCCCTTACCAAAAAAACATTCTAGCAACACTATCGCTATATAAGAGACTTCTAAAAGAAAACAAACAAGAATCCCGCCGACATGTGAGGCGGAGAATCAGAGAAACAAACAATAGAGAAATGATAAACGCCGTTCTCCGACAAAGATCCTGCTGATTCTGTCGACTCATGCCCGCGTTGTGGCCTGCAGGAAGCGGGCGTCAATCTCTGCCACTGCCCGCATTCGTTGGCGGTGTTTATTGTCCAGTCCGGACTTTCCTGTTTGCAAGTATGTCTGGCACTCCAGAAACATTCTTGCATGTTGTGTTCCACAGCACGATCTCGGGCGAAGTGGACACAGCTCGGGTTCGCTATGTAGGCCTGGTTGTAACGGCAGCATTGAAGCAGCATCTGCCGCTCTGAGATGCTTGGACGTCGCAGGATTTTGCGTTTTGGTCAGTGTTTTCTGTGCATAGGGGTCCGGTAGCTTCGTGGCTGGGCACGGTCTTGCTCAGAGCTATGGAACAAGAGACTGTTGTGGCTGCAGTAATATTCAGGCAGTATCATCTGCTGCTGCTGCTGGTTAAGTATGGCCCATACTACATACATGTGCGCTGTGACGATCTGCCGATTGTTTCTGGAGGTTCCGTGCAGCCCACCTCTAGCTCTCACACTCATGCTTGCAAGCCCGGGTGACGGCTATAGAGCGATAAATGCGAGAAATGAGCATTGAGACATGGATGGTAAAGGTGAACATATGATATATGATATATGATATATATATATATACATATATATATATATATCATATATGAACTCAAAACCAGACCCGTCAGATTAAACATCACAGATAGAAACGACCTAACAAGGAAGATAAATCTGTATCTTCGAAACTAAAGACGAACGAGACACAGGAGATGATTTGATAATTAGGCAGCAATGGCAGCAGTAGCGAAGACAGGCCAGCTGCTGCAACAGTACATCGGGGGGTGAAAGACAATATGCCCAGCAAAATGGTCGGCTGTGACAAACAGGGGATCGAGCGTCAACAAGCAATGACGATCGGCATCGTGAGGGAAGCCCAGCTCTGCAAGAAAAGGTAGTGCCCCAAGTGCCCCACGTAAGACTGTCCACTCTGTCTTCTCATCAAAGCGGACGTGTAGCCTCTATTAGCCTTTGGACAACTTTGGCCAAGCAAACGTCCAACAACCTGCATCGACGGTGTCGTACTCTTTCAGGAGCACACGATCACTCGTCGGCATCTTCGCTCGGTTTCAGGGATACACCTCGGCAAAGGCGGGCCGAAGGATACACTTCATTTGCTTTCACAAACGGCCGATGCCTTGCGAGAGCAAAGCCAGCTCGTAGAGCACCTTCTCAAAGGCGCGTGAAAGATAGACACGGCTCAATTCTGGTGTGACCTGCTCAATCTTTCCCAAGGTGCCCTTCAAAGGGCTCATCTTCTTGCCCAAGCTTCCAGGCCTCGGGTGCACACACAGCGCGTGACTTGACTCTTTGGTTTGAACCTGCCGGTGCATGGGGCCACAGGCAGACCTTTTAGCGACGCCCCAGGTCCCGCGCAAGAACGGGAGCAGGGAAACGCTGTCGTAAACTGCCTCAAGCATGGGCACCCACCATGTCAAGGGATATCGCCAGAACAAATAGCAAACGTGCTGTGAACGATCCGAGCCTGCACGCAGGCCAGGCAGTCTTCGATGCATTCCTGACCGCCATCAACTGTTGAACACGACACAAGCCATGAATTGGCGCGAGCTTGGGAGGGCTGTTTCCGAAGGCCTTCCCAGGACGACCTCGGCCTCAGCTGATGTGAGAAGTCTCCTCTTTTTTCCTTCCTAACCTCAGATGTCAAGCTCGGGACTGGCGGTCCGTACAGCAAGTCGACCAACCTCTCCTGGTTTGGGCAGGCCCCACCAACTTGCGAACTCCAAATTCTCTCGGACCAGGGTTACGCAGTCAGAGCCTCAGAGCCTCAAACACCAGAGAAACTTGCCCAAGAGAGCCTGACCAGCCTAGTCAGCAGGAATTCAAGAGATCCGACCGGTACCGCCCTCACCTGCGCGTGGTTGCCGGATATTTTCTCGTCATTGAGCACATGGGCGGCTCGCAGGCAGCTGCAGGCGGTCTTCGATTCTACAGCCATCGGCATAGCCATGATTAGTCAGTCGGTTCTCAGCAGGTTTGCCACCTTCAGTGTCATCGTCCGCGTGTTGAAACAACTCCAAGACCTGCACTATTACTTCCGGTTGAAAGCCAAGGTACACCTATCGGAGGAGGAACTGTTGAGCTCAACTCTTCCTTACTAGGACTCGGCTGAGTCGCTCTCAGAGTCGCCGAAACTCGTCAAGACACCCTTTGCGTCCACCATGGCCCCACTGACCGCTGGCGACTTGGAGGCTTGCCAAGAAGGATGGCGCTCGAGCTTCTGCTGTCCTGAAAGCCGAGACTTGGACTATGCATCACGAAACACTCGGAAATGGGTGAGAGTGAGAGCACGAACGAATACGATGTCTTATCTGCACGGAACGACATCCATTCAAGTGGACTACGTACATGAACTAATGCAAGCAAAGAAGTCTGCCTGGGTCAAAACCCTCCCAGGAGCCCCGCGCAGCCCTTGGACGCGCACATGCTCTGTTTGGGTGGGTTTGGGGAACATGTCGGGAGCCACGTTGATTTCGTCAATCTCTCGCTCTCCCTCTCTCCCTCTCGCAACATGTTGGTGCACGAAGTCTGCAAACTAAACAGGTCTTGCCCCGTATTCTTTCGAAGGGCCCATGGCTTTAAATCCCCCAGTATTCAGTCTGGATCACGTTTCGGGGTCTCCTCTATAGACAGATTTCCTACAACCTTGGTGCTGGGTATATGGGATCCGGTGGGATTTAGGAGTAGCTTTACTGTTCATCCTGTTCGCGTCGTACTTTAACCGTTCATCCGCCAGCGCAGTTGCCCCGAAGCACGGGAAACACCCTGCGAAGCATGCCACTGCTGCAGGTGTCACGTTCGAGGTACATGGGGATTGAGCGCCTGAAGACATGTCAGGTCCAGGTGTTATGGGGAATGTGAGATGATAGCATTAGCAACTGGGCGCCTCAGGAAGAGTCGGACGCTATTCTGGTGCCTCGAACCCCGTCTCAAATCAAGGCACGGATGCGCTCCAGGCGTTCTTTGCGCCGTTGCTTCTTCGCTTTTTTCCATGCTCCTCCAAGCACGCCTCTCGCGTGTAAGAATGCTTTATCATGCTTTATCTATTTGGCATATCTCAGTGTGTGTCCATGTATAAGAGGAACACACAGCAATGCATGGCACTTCCAAACTTCCAAGCTGGCGCACCGTCTGTGCAGGCACCAGGCAGAGGCTCCTCGTTCCGACGGACCAGCCGTAACAACCTGCATTCGAAATCTTCCGGTTTCCCCTATACTTCAGCGAAACACTCCTGCCACCTCGTGCCCCGGATGTGTGGGCCACTTTGCTGTCACATTCATTAGCTGAGCTGACTTTAGCCAAGCATCAGGCGGCCCAGGTGGCAGCTCGAGGTCTTCTGCAAGGTCGAAAAAGTCGTCCTCCTCAACCTCACCCCCTTCTTCTGCTGAGCAACGCTTCTGTCGAAGTTCGTCTTCCCCAGTGTGCACGGATCGCGCGACTTCGATTTCCTCCGGTGCCAGCTCCTCCTCCTCTTCTTCCTCATCTTCACCCTCGCCGTCGAAGTCCATGTCGGACAACAGGGCTGGACAAACGGGATCTTCAGCAGCTTGCCCGGTGTCTTCGCCCAGACCAATCTTTGACGTTGGCAGGTCAGGCAGCGGTGCCTCTTCTTCAGACTCCTCGCCTGCAGCGTGGCGCAGAGCGCGGGCCCGTGCGGCAGCCTTCAGCAGTAAGTCCACGGCGGTTTGCTCCGCGCTGCGTCCAGCCGCACCTTTGTCATCAATCTTCGGCTTCTTGCCCGCGAGCCCTGGCCCTTTTGCCTTCTTGTTCCGGCGAGGCGTCTGGGCGCGTTTCATGGCTGTTGATTGTTTCGTGCGACTTGTCTTGCTTGTCGTTGTTGCTTCCGGTTTGTGAACCTTTGCAGGGTCTGCTCTTGATTTCGGAGCAGGCCTTCGCGCTTCCCTCAGCGGCTGAAGAGGCTTTGGCCTCACAGGCTGCCTGTTCGTGTCTTGCTCAACGGCCTGCTTCTTGACCTTCTTGGGGGCCCTCTCTGCAATTCGCAGCCCTGCAAGTGGTGCTTCCTTCTCCAATCTTCCGTCTGGCTGTGCTCCGGTGAGACGAGTGAGCTTCACTCGCAAGGCTTCAACGATGTTCTTTCGGCCGGATCGCTCGGCTGCTTCCAGGGACTTGCGGCAGGCCTTGACCTTAGCTCAAAGCCACAGCTCTACCAACTTCGTCTCGCAAATTGCACTGCAGCGCCCTCTCAACAGCTGGCATTCCTGCAGAGCTGCTTGATCATCCAACGTCTTCTCCTTGATGAACCATCGCGACTGCCCGCGGTCTTTGTCTCTGCCCATCAGGGCGGCAGTTTAGGCAAGCTAACTTTAGATTGCTGTATTACCGACTCTTTCAGCTACTGCCAATCATGTGGTTGTCGTTCCAAACAACATCCAATTTCCTTGTGTCATGCTTGGTGCTTGAGTCTGCTTCAGGGACTTTAGGGATATGATAATATAAATATAGATATATGTATATATATATATAGGATATAACAGGATATATGATCATATGTATAAATGTTCAACATGTAGATGTATATGTATATAGATGTATATGTTTGTATATATAAATATATATATATACATACACATATGTGTGTGTAGGGAGCTGTCCTAGCAGTTTGAACGAATTCAGCGCTGCACAGAGCCCGTGCGGCGGTCTCGGCCCGAGCACGTCCTACGCTCCCTGGATCCGAGCCAAGGAACTTAAGTTACCAGCTTTTGCATCACGACTTGTTACCAGAATAAGGAAGTTCCACTGTTTACTGTAGATCCCTATTATGGTAATTAACTAAACCTCACTTGCTTAACAAGAACACAGCCTTCCGATGGCTTCCGTGGCGTGTTCCGGGTGTGTCTGGCGGTGGCTCCTGTGAGGTCCATGAGGCCGCCCAAGTACTCGGCCAGGAGCAAAGGGAATTTTAGGCCGCTGATGTCCTTGCAGGCTTCTGCGCTTCTTCTGGGTACGGCCGAGAGTGAGAGCTCTGGGAGGCGCGCTTGCATCTCTTCCATGCTCAGCAGCTTGCCGTCAATCCCTTGCAGAAACCGAGTTTCGGGCTGGGCAGGGGCGATCTGAACCTTCCGTGACGAAGTGCTTCTGAATGATTCCAAGTCTACGTATTGGTGCCTCTTGCATGCCCAGCCCACAACCAACCCGGGACCTCCATAAGTCTGAAGCGGGACATGGGCCTTAAGGGCCTTGGGCCTGGCTGGGGTGGGGTTAGGGCGAAGCGGCGAAGCCGTCAGGCGACTGCTGAAACATATTGATGAATGTTCGGTGAATGTGTCCTGTTTGGTTGGCTGTACAGCCGAGCGAGTGAAAGCCTTGCTGGGCACTTGCAGGCATTGAACGACAAGAGCCAATTTCCAAGCAAACATATAATCACCATCAAGTCAAGAACGGCAGGCCAGTGCCGAAGCCCGTCGCTGAGTGTCGGACGGAAGGCACGATATGCGAGTGCCTGCAGCCCGGTTGAATCTTACCGAAACGGGATTGTTGTAACGAACCCCGAAGATTTGCCTCGGCTAACTCCTCCAAGGCGCCGCTGAAGAATCCGATTCCTGATTTCAGTCTCGGAAAAAAGGGCACTAAGCAAAGTCTCAACGAAGACCACGGTCTCTTCCGGCGAAAGTCCAACCAAGCTGAGATCAGCTGCCCACATCCGAGGACAGCGCTCAATGTGGGCGAGGCTGCAGCAAACGATGCGTAGATGCCGTTGGCCTGCTTTTGCTTGCAACGAACACATGGCGAATTTGCAGCTTATGACTTATGTCCAGCGCCTTCTGCGCACAACGCTGCAGCTGCTCATCTGCCTGGAGCTGAAGCATCGCTCCGCCACCTTTTTCTGCTTCTTGGGCGGCCTCTGAATGAGACCTCCGACTCAGGCTGAGGCTCTCTTCTCATCCGAACCTGGGTCCGCAACCCGCGACCCACGTATGTCTCTTTCTGGCATGGTGCAATTCTCATTTCTAACCTCTGCCAAAGAATCTGACGATGCAGTGCGTAGATGGCATTCCTTGCTGTTCAGAAAGAAGCAGGTTCTCCGAACGGCTTTTCACCACTATTGAAATCTGTCTCGAATCAACAGAACTCGCCGATGATGAGAGCTCGATGTGGTCTCATCTTCAACATTCCCGTTGTGCTCAGTTTATTTAGTCTGCCGACATAAGGCAAGCGGCTTTGCTGCCTTGACAACGTCGCGCGACTGTTTCATTACCTGCATTTCAGAACCAGCGAACTCACTGCACTTGTCCTTGTGTGTGTCCTAATGCTCGCGCAATCTCTTTGCATGCTCAACGAACAGGGGAGCCGTCTTCGAGAATATGCAAAGCCGTGCATCCAGAATTCGTCATGTATGATCGCAAGAGCAGCAGGCCTGCTCCCGACGCTCATCGAAGTCATCGTACCCGAGCTTGATAATCTTGCTTTTGAGGCTCTGCGACATTCCGGGATGCGAATGCGGTGCGGGAGGCCCCGGCGCCAAGATTCTCCAAGTTCAATGCTGGTCGGACATCGCTAGCCTTTTCCCAGCAGCATGAAAAACTCTTGCCCTCGCATGTATAGAACGAGCCCGAGGGCCGCGCCGAGCTTGGATCTGGAGCCAGATCGTCCCCAGCTGGCACTTTCCTTGCTGCCGGAAGCAAGTCGCCCGAAACGCGTCCGCAAAGCACCTGTGTCACGTGACCTGCCTTTTCCGTGCCTGGAAAAAGAACGAGTCCGTCCATGTGGTGGGCCGTGGGCCCGATGCTTTCGCTGATGCGGCACGCTTCAGTGTTTCCAGTTTGGGGTGCGGCATGACCAATGGTTGCCACATGCTTCCTGAACTCATACCTGTTTCAGTGTCGTGGTCTTGCGCAAGAGCCCTAGTGACGGCATCACATGGCTGTCAGCACCACTAGCCGAACCGACCAAGGCGGTCAGGGCAGATGCCTCGACTTCGACATACGGTTCGCGCAATCAAGCCCTACTCATCCGCCTCGCCACTACAACTCACTTCAACTCGTCAAGCATTTCCAAAGTTATTCAGCCATAGCAGTCCCGGAGCATCCTCTTCTGATACAGTACTTCTCACCTGCTGGCTATGCCGGTGTGAGGTTTGTATGCACCTGGTGGCAAGTGCATTCCGCAATGTCCGCAAGGGGATCCCAGCTCTTACCAAACATGCTCAGTCTGCTCAATGCTCATGTGTGCGAGCATGAAGCTAGTCTAACAGGATGCTGCTGCGCTGGCTGACCCAAGCTATGTTTACTTACAATCAAGTGGCTCCTCTGTCAGAATTGCTGAGGGATCGCGCTGCCTGGCATCTGCTGGAACAAGGTGCAGTCGTGCAAACTCTTTACCTTGAGCACTTCAGTCAGTTGCTGGCAAAGCAGTGCCATCTCGCCTCTGGTTTCGTAGCATTTTGCATATTTCATTCCGTTTCGTCCGCCAGGCCTTGCCAGGTCGATCTCGTAGACCAACGACTCCAGCCTCAAGCAAGCACCATCTCTCTATGTGCTGGCACTGCACCAGTCGCTCCGTGTCTCTCTCAGTACAGGACTTCTTGACCGTGTACTTCACCCCATCGAAACCTGCTCTGTGCTTCTACTAGCTACGATCATGGCGCTGAATGCCAGGACTGCTTTCCTTGCCATGCCAAGCTGGCGCCGTCTGAGCCCGGTGCGGACTCGCAAAGCACTATTCCTGAAATTGAACTGCATCAATGCCTGCGAGAAGCACGATACGCAATCATCAGAAGCCGGTGCAGCTGAGCCGTTGCGATTTTTCGCAATAGTTCCGGTCGCTCTTATCCAAGCTTAAGCATCTGTGAGTCAAGACTACACGGAGTCAAGAAATGTATCACTCCTGAATGCCTGGTCCTTACCTGCGAGCAGCATCCAGTAGCTACAGGGCAGCATGAAGTTTGCACGGAGGGCGCCTCTTCCATCGTCTGCGCTAGCTCGAGGCAAAACTTCACCGAACGAAGATCGAGGGACTGGCACCAAACTAACACAAAGCAGCTTGTACCTGTGGAGTTTTGTTACGTGTGGCGTGGATGGGCGAAGCAGGCAGACTACGTGGATGGATCTGGTGCTGACAGCCAGCCTGCCCACGATTCACAGCATACCTGTCCAGAAGCTGCTCTGGTGTGTGTGTGTGAGAGAGAGAGAGAAAGAGCGAGAGAGAGAGAGAGAGAGACGTAGTCAGAGAGAGAAGGAGAGAGAGCAAGGCAGTGGGAAACGCAGGCACCGTTCCAACTCCCTCAGGCTGCTTATGGCACCAAGCAGGTAGCACCTTTCTGCAAGGCAATCTTGCGAATCTTCGGTGCGTTGACGCTGCTCGAGCTTCACGGCTACCGAGCTTTGCGCTCGTTGTCGAACTCGGGGATGCCAGTCTTCCACTGTGGGGCGACCTTCGAAGTGCAGATCTAAAGCTGCGAGCTTCCGAGTCACCGTGCGCCTCTGGGAGCAGCTCGCCCGTTTCAAGAAAGCTCTTTAGTCCAAGGGTTTGGATGTACACCTGGCACGCTGGGGAAGAAGTCGTCTCATGATATCTAGGCTGAAACATGGGGACCCGCCTCAAGGAAGCCGGCTACATTGCAGGATTCGCATAGGCGAAGACGTCGTGGAGGCGACTGCCAAAGATCTCAGTAAGCGGTCGAAGGGCTTCCGAATATCTACGGACCGCTGACCTGGCCTCCAACTGCATCACCCAGACCAGGAAGCTGATCCACCTCCTGCTACTTTGAGAGGCTTTCTCGAAGCTTTTCGAAGCTTACCAGAACAGGCCCTTTCGCCGTCCTTCTTCCAACAGAGAACCCCGACGACTAGCAGACTAGCAGTTCACTCCGGAGAGGCTTCAGCTCTCCAAGACGCTTTGTCCCGCGGGTGTCCTCGAGGACAGCTTGCGCCCCTGCAACATCGGAGCCTTGCAAGTCTCTGTGCGTGCAGGTGATGATTTTTTGGCTGAACACTGGGTGGGATTGAACGGACAAAGCAGCTCACGACACGGGCAATTCATGACTATTCCCGGACGCATGGATGCAAACAACCCCGACGGTGAGCAGCTCACAGGCGAACAAGCTGCTTTGGCTTTCATGTCAAGTCACCATCTACGACTCTACATATCCTGTCATGCTTGAACTCAGAACTGGAACGTCGTCAGCTGCCGCCGATCCAAAGGCATTTCAATTGTCATCTGACAGGCGGTTCCAGGCAGTCCCTGGGCGCCTTCTCTAGTCTGGGAGCTACACAATCCACAGTTTGATGAAGCACCGCAAGTCATGTCTCTGGTGCTCTGCGTGTTAAGGCCCGAGCACTGCAATTTTGCGCAGGCAATGTAGCAAAGCCGCCGGCCAATGCCTACGACCTTCCGTTTGAGACTAAGGATGAAGAAGGATGCAAAAAGAAGGCGTGCGGTCGAATGTGCAAGTTTTCGATATCTGCCTCCTGCAGCCCGGACCGAGCTTCGAGGACCTGCGGAGGACATAAGCTGGTTCTGGGGCTATCGGCAGCCTTCTGGTGACGCCAGCGCATCAAACTTGACTAGCAACTGAAGCTTCAGGACCAAGCTCCAACTGCTAGTTCATGGCAAATATGGCAATCACCGCAACATCCTCGAGCGCACACGGCTTTTCTTTGCCTCTCGTGGTGCCTTCCGCCGTTTGTGAATCAATGGAGCGGTCCCGTCTGAAGAACTATTTGCAACGGATCGTTTGAAAGGCGAATTGGCTGCACTTCGATTCTGTACAGGAAGACATACCCCTTCGGAGTTCCGCTAAATCCGGGCTGTAAATAGTGAAACCTTGTGCAGGCCTGGACTCTGGATGTGCATATTTTAAGACCTGATGCCTTTAGCATCCAGAAACTTCTTCAAGCGGCTTCGAATCAAGTCGCAGTTCCGAAGGCATGCCAGGATCGCTGAGTTTCCCAACTTCAACATGTGTTTGTATGGCAATGATGATCTTGGCACCGCACCGCACCTTGCTTAACCTCAGCCGGTGCTGGCCAAAGCCTTCGGTGAATCCAGGGGCGGCAAAGGCGTAAGGCCTGAGTGGCTTCAGGGCTCCTTGCATCGGGGGCCTTCAGGAGAGGGTGCAGCTCGAGTGAAGCGTGGAATCGCGAACGGAATCTGCCAAGATGCTCATCTTTTCGGGATCTCCCTGTGGAGGACTACCCTGCTTGCCGTAGCCAGCGCTTGGCACAGCCTTAGCGGGTGCTCGGAACTCACAATCTCATACAAATGAATTCGAAAACGGCAGCTTACACCTATCAACACAACTCGCGGTTCTGCCGCTGAGCCACCGCATCGGGTTGTCTGTTCCTCCAGTGTCGGGATTCTTACACAAGCCCAAGCATCATCTCTACCGCTGTTCAAACTCGTGTCTACTACAGTCCAGCCTGGCGGACACTGGCCTCGCAGGGACACGTGATGAAACAAGGCTGTCCGTCTCCGTGACTCCCGTTCGGTGGACAGCACGCCGAATGCAAGCCGAAGCACGGTAAGCCCGGTAAGCTCTCGTCTCGGGAGGGCGTCCGAACCCTTGCCAGTCCTCACCCGCAGCCACGCAATGCAAGATCATGCAAGTCCACACAAGTCTGTGGCATCTCCGGCAACAGACCAGGAGACCAGGCCTTCAGGAAGCTCGGAGTTAACGCCCAGCATGGGCAGCTCGTTCATCGGCCTGTACTTCCACTGTCTTCGCACTTCGGCTACAGGCGGAGTCCCTGGCTCGTCCCTTCTTGTACGTGCAGTGTCTGTGCAAGCGCCCGACGCCCAAACTGTGCTGTGAGTGCTGTGCACACTGCCAACTGTACGTTGTGCCTAGGTTTCGGCCAGCAACTGCCAGCACAGTCCTATCAAGACCTGATCTCAAGCAACCATAAATATCAGCCGAGTCACCGCTTGATTGCTGGCAGGCCATATGGCCGGTCCTATGGACATCATGCATGACTGCGGGATTAGCTCAGGTTCTTCCCTCGACAGGCATCGGTCCAGGCGAACAGAAATTCATTCTGGCACCGGCAGCGAAGTCCAACCGCAAAGGCCATTCAACTTGGTCCCCGTTCCGTCCTGCAGGGCCCCTCTTGGGGAATTGCCTCCGCGGCACGGCCACTGCACCGATCTGGGCGAGCAAGCTCTGGATGGTGCAGCGCTTTCACATGTTGGATTTAAGATCTCTCGGTGATCTGAGGACAAGAGCAAGTGTGCAAAGGTCGGCATGCCACCTGTTTATAGCTTTACACGAGAAAGTTCATGACACCAGGTCAAGTTGACGAGAGCTTCAGCAAAGCACCACTGATCCTCATTGCTACTCCTGCAATCCATGCTCATTTGATCCACCAGTGCATGAGTCGGATGCTGCCGGCCTTGTAAAAAATCTGTTCGCTGTCCATGGAAACTTCAGGTCTGAAACATATTCAGCCACAGGTGTCAACAAAAACCTCACTTCTTTGCCGACCTGATTGAGAACAGGCTGTGGTTCCCGCAAATCCGGCAGCATCCGACTCGGGTGTGGGCGGTTTTGGCAACGATGCTATGCGCCGAAAGTGGGGATTCGTGGGCTGGTGGCGTAAGTGAGCCCGACACAACGGAGTCTTCACTAAGAGATTGAAACGACTGCCGCGTAAGCCGAACATCTCCAAGGACGTGTAAGCAATCTATAGTGACAATGCCAACTAGCATGCCCATGTTCACTGGACTTTGTTTCACAGCAGTATTTGATCCAGCTGGCCCGTAGTCCTTGTGTTGATTGCGGATTCCTGTTTAGCAGTTCAAACCCTTGAACCTGCAACAACGAGCCACCAGGAAGGCACCAGGACGGGAAGAAGTGATAATCTAGAAGCAAATCCATGTTACCCGCATCTGACATCATCCCGAGGCCTTCATAACGTGTTCGCCATAGATGTGGCCAAGTGGTGATCAGGTTTGGTTCAGAAGCCAAAAGCCACTAGGAAGGATTCGCTGCACTTCCCTCTCAGCCAGACGAAGACTCCAAGGACCGGCCTTGTGTTTCGGGTCGCTGCTTGGGCGGCATAGAGGCTCCTTGTGAGATGCACAAGTGCTGATTCTAGTTCACTGCCTTTCTGTTGAGACGAGCAAAGCGTGCTTCTTCTCGCGGGTACAGGGGGCTGGCGGCGAGATCTGGCGGTCTGCCTCAACAGCCTCAACATAGTGCCGCGTCCAGCCAAGGTGCTGCAGAGCTGGACGGTAGTCCATCGCCTTGCCGCGCAAAAAGCCTACGCTCGGCCACTCTGACGCCACTGTGGCTCTGAGGCCCCGGCATGGCCACCACAGGAGATGCTCATCATGTCAAGTGTCCAGGTGTCTTCGCACAATCCCGTCTCCAGTGCAGGCGATCGGCTGCAGCGACAGGCAACCAGAGCTGACTCTTTGGGGTCCTCATGACGTGCTGGGATGAGAAAGGCAAGCCTTGAGAAGATACAAGCTGGGACAAGTACAGATGCAGCCAGCTCGTAGACCCCCGTCACTTCGTGTCCCGGATGGTTCACATCCTGTCGCGAAGGTTGCAGAAGCGATCGCCAAACAGTTCACTTCGACAGATCCCTGCCTTGACCTGGAGAGATACTCCGCTGAAAGCACCCACCCTTGGCGTGACAGATCTTCGAACATGTAAGCGTGAGTTTTTTGGTCTGAAAAAGTACCAGCTTCTGCAAGACTTCAACCGAAGTTGACAATTAGGTAAACGTTCTATGACAGGGGTCCGAGCGCTTAGCAGCTAGCTGGGGAAATCTGTGGGGAGAGCGCCTCTTGTTTCGGCCAGACGTGACTTCTTTCAAGCATCGGAGTGGTATGGTTGGACAGCACGAAGAAAACGTCGGTGACGTTGGCCGGCAGTTTATCCAACTCGACCTGTCACAAATCGAGCCGCATGGGCGACCTGGTGACATGTCCGAGATGCCCCTACCCTTGTACAAACTTTGGTCTCATCGTCCTGGCTACGGGACTTTTCCGTAAAGTCTTTCCAACCCAGGCTCCCACCTGACATGTCGTCTTCCCTTCCTCAGGATGGTGTGGGTGTGTGTGTGCCCATGTGACTTTCCAGAACTTGCGCAAGGTCTCCGCAACCAATCGTTGAAACTTTCGACTCTGAAAGCCTTACAGACTGATTGCGACTGCTGAGCTTTGTTGCCGCCCGGGATTCCCTTGCAGCATAATTCTGAGATCCACCAATGTGATGCACCGCGCCACCGCTGGCATCTCCAATCGGGATCTGCCCAACCTGAGCACGAGAGTGTGCTTGCTGCCTCGATGCCTGCTCGTCATTTGCGTCAGGTGCAGCTGCACTCCCTTGTCGCTTGTTTTCTGCATGTTGCAGCTATATGTCATCTGCCAGATATGCTCATATACAGAAAAACCCTCGAAGTCAGACTGAGCATGTGACCCAATAGCCGCGATAGTCCAGCCTCGGAGTCTTGAAAAGGCATGGTGCAGTCTTGGAGGCATGAAAGGCCTCCTCGGACCAATCTCTTGCTCTGAATCCGCAATCGTCGCACACTGAGTAACAGTAACCAGTAGATGGAATCTACACAAAACTGCAGGGTGTTCCTCACTTCCGCGATGCAACGCGAAGACTGGGAAATGGGAAAGGGAAGCCGCACCTGCTTTCTGCATGCTTTGGCAGAATTATTTAGATACCGGTCCGGTGACTGTTTCGGCAGTGTTTCGCCTCCTCTCACACTCGCACTGGCACAACCAAGCATTTAGACCTTGTTTCATGAGAAGTCGGTTAGCGGGGAACTCATCCTCTCGTAGGTGAGACTGCCTGTGTCGCTCTTTACTAACTGCTTACTACCAGTGGCGATTGCTGCTGAGCTACATACCCCAGTCTAATTTAGTTGCTGGTGCGGATCGCTGCTCACATAACAATGGCAACTAATATGCTACTAGCCACGAGCAATAAATGGTGCAGCACGAAACCCCGAAAATTTCTAACACCTCTTAACTTCCCAGCCATTGCGATAAGGAAGCTTACCGTTGTCCGTTTTACTTCGCGAATGGACGTGCTCTCAGGACGGGCAACACACCATTTGTCACCCAGCGGATGCCATGTGCTCCACGGTAGTCCACCACTTCACGTAAAGCCTGGCCTTCAAACAGGACCTTAGATAACAAGCTACTATCTCACGATCTGCAGCGTTGGCCGAGGAACCCCAGGAGAGGGCTTTTTCGACCCACGACACGGGACGCAACTACGGATACGTGAGCTCCAAGTCACGCAAGTGGCATCCAAATAACAGTTCGTAGAATCCTCCTCCGTGTCCTCCTCCTTTCAAGGCGTCAAGCGTCGTCAACATTTGTGAAGCAGGTGAAGAACTTCTCTCTCCTTCTGTTCTACTATGCGCTCGAACTCCGGCTCGCCCCGTTAGCTCTGGCCTATCTCTGTCGGACAGTATATAAACAGCCTGCCTTTTGTCGTGGCCGTTTGAGCTTCCTATCCCAAATCTGTAGTGCACCCCGCAACAGCATGTGCACGACAGGCTTTGTCAACAGTACATGCCTAACCGCCCGTCCATATATACTGTCATACAGTCTGGGTTATCACTCCCGCATGAAGTCGCTGCTCATGAGCTCTTTCAAAAGCCGGGCCTGCTCCGGAAACTTGTATTTGAACTCGAACTCCAGGTTCCCTTAGAAGGCCAAGCCATGGAGACAAGCACGGCAGGCTGTTGCGCATCCGTCCTTCACGGCTCCACAACGCATGGACAGATCTCTTACTTGCAGACAGAAATAGCTATCATGTTGAAGCAAGTCTCATGCCTCCCCATAGGATGCCTCGCAAGGTGTCACACGTGGCACTCCATCCCCGCAGCAAGCTGAACAACAAAGGACAAAAGCCATGCAGCGACGACACCTCGCACGATTTTATGTCGAGCCCCCCACCTTGACCATGCCAGCCATGTCGACCCCATCAAGCAAACATCGTGCCCACAGCGCGCCGTCTTCTCCACAGGCGTCAGCCCTATCAAGGGCCCTCCCATCACCCGGCTACATCACGCCAGCCGTCAACCGGATATCGTGCCCACCCCGCGAGCGCAAGCCTGCCCCACCAAACGGACATCATGCCTGCGTTGTTGTGCACGCCCGCGGGCCCCATCAACAGTCCGCGCTATCGACGCCCGCGCCCCAGTTCAAGCACGGCGTCAAGCCAGAAGCCAACCCCAAAGGAGGTCTTGGGAACAAACGTGATACTGTGCCTGCCATTCGCCAATGCTGCACAAGTTGCCCACATTTTGGATGACTGGACATCTTCCGAAAGGCTTAGACGGCTTAGCACGAGCTTAACATGCACCTGGCCTCAGAGATGGTCAAGTGCGACTTGCTGATGCGATTGCTGCTGGAGTCATATAGCGTCTCCGCGAGGGCCTGGCAAGTTCCCGGAAGGGACCGGGATTCTCAACGCCATTTCTGCTAGCTGCGCTTGTAAGCTTAGACATCTCGCAGCCGCAGGCAGGGCCTGCCTCGATGAACATGGGATCTGCGATTCGCCTGAGGTATTCACAGCGTTTTGGTGTTGAGTGTACCTTGCATAGTACGCCTATTCCGGGGACAATATTGACACGATTTGCTACCCGAGTAGCTGCAGCATCTCTGACGAAAGCATTTTTTGATCGCCAGTCAGCTCAACCGCGTAGCCGAACCTTGGAAACAGACAAGATGCTGGAGGCATTTACATTCAACCCCTACGAGTAGGTCGGGAAGACGTTTCACCGAAGAAGAAAGCAGCCATAGACAGACAGACATGGAGAGAAGAGAACGAGCAATCAAGAGTGATACATGGATAGAGGGATAGACACACAGATAGACAGCAAGACAGATGGGTAGACTGAAGCGCACGTGCTCGCCCACCCTTGATCTGCGTTGCGGACCCGTGCGTGCAGCCGAACCGTCTCACAGCTCTTGCAGGCAAAACATTCCTACTCAAGACCTACCACTGTTTTACCGGAGCCAATGCAAGCGACCCCGTATCTCAAGCAGTTGGTGCGTAGCCTGACTTAGAGGTGTGCGGGTTCACTGTCCCTCAGCCACTCATTCCAACCTACGTGTTGCTGAGAAGCTCCAACGCATTCTTTCGACTCCTTGGGCCCGCAAGGACTGAACACGAGTCGACCAATGCTACGCCAACGAACTGACTCAGCTGAACACCTACTTGCAGGACAAGATTCACCCTGACGTTTGTGTCTTTGACGGGATGTGGCACGGAGAGCTCTGCTTGAATCCTCTTTAGTACATCGGGGACCAAGTTCTTCATGGCCTGCTGTCTCGGGTATCCCAGGCTCAAGACTTTGGCGATGACCGGCCTCAGTAAGAGATTCATACATGTGCGAAGATGTCGCTCAAGGTCGTGCGCAAGAGACAAGGCTCATGTAAGACTCCGTCCTATAATCCCGATGGCTCCCCTTGCCAAAGGAATCGATCTTGTTCACGTGCCAAAGGTGGTCGTCCAGTCTGTAAACACTGAGCATAACGGCACACCTCACCGCATGATCGCATGTACAAGAAATCCACACCAATGGTCGAAAGACAGTAAACGTCATATTGAGGAGGTCAGGGTGCTCATGTCCCGGACTGATCTGCTCCTCCGCGGAGCTGCTCGCCAAAACCTCTGAAGACTCGGCATCGATGACCATGCTCTGGAGGTCGGTGAACTTGGACAAGTCCCGGGAGTTTGTAGGCGAGACGACCTAAGGCTTTCGGCTGTCGTGAGCCGGCATATCTAGTGACCGACGCTCGACCATGATCATGACATGTGGGTGCTCGGCAAGTGGCAAAAACGAGATCGGTCACGTGCGACGGAATCAAATCGATGCGCACCTCCACCGTCCGCTTGCCTTGGTTGCTCCCTGGGGACATCACAGAAGTTCAACATACATGCTACTTGCATCTGGAGATCCTTGTCTGCTCTCGGCATAGTTGGTTTCCGAAAACATGTTGACAGCCGAAATCTTCTCCTGAACAACTCGAGCAGCGGTCAGATCCGACGTTCAGATGGAAGCAACACCGAACAGTATCGACACGGCGTGGATGCCATGTATCACAGTTTGCTAGCACTTGCGGGAAGAGCCGTCAGTGACATGCATGCAGAAACCCACAGCCGACCTTGGAAGAATGATGTACTGGGCTGCTTTCTTTGCTCCTGCTTCTTCTTTCGTCTGAGCAGCAGCCAAGGTTGTCCGGCAAAGGGCAGTGCACAACCCTGTCGTTCACGATACGGGGCAGTCGGCCGTCTGAAATCTGCAGCTGTGTCACATGCCACACCGTACGGTCCAGAGTTTGTGATGCCGTACTTGGAAGCTTGCGACCCGCGGCCATCAATGATGTCGAGAAGCCTCTCCTCAACTGTAAGCACCGCGCAACGGGCAACCAACCCAGGCAGTGAAACAAATGGCTCGTGATTATCTCATCAGCCCTCTTTGCACTTGCGCTCCTGGTCGAACATCAAACAGCTGGTGTCCAGTGAATCGAAAATTCCTTTCGGGTACGTCCAAGCGAAGTCCAGGTGAAGCGAGCGGAAGACCCTTGCGCGCACTGACCTGGTCGGTCACGACTACCAGCACTGTTTCATGAGCTGTTACTTGGAGGGACAAGTTGTGATCTGCTGCAACCTTTCATGACGCAAGGCGCATGCCGGACCTTGTGTAATCGGCCAGTTGCTTCGAACAGGGTGGCCTGAACAGTCGTCGAGTCTTACACACTCATCCATCGAGGGATGACTTAAAATTTTTAAAATGACACAGAAAATTACTAGGCCAGACCAGGTTGCGTGATGCTCCGGCTCACTTGAACCAGGGAGGAGGCGAGCTCCCCGCTGAGGGCAGCGAGCACGTCGTCCGTGTCATCCCTGGTTTACACACACGGGTGCCGCACGCCGCACGCTTGACTCAGACCAGACTCGCGACGAGCATTGAAAATGCTAGCCAGAAGCACCAACGAAGCTTTGTTGAGCAGTCTTCCGTCTCTGGATCCGGGTCCGTGCAGAAGTCCAGGGGATGGATCCTCAGCGATGCTTTTTCCCCTGTGAGGTGGCCCGAGCTGCCTGTGACGTGTGCCTTCCATACTCCGAACCTGGGTTCAAAAACTAGCGCGGAGGACCACAAGAGAAGTTCAGCCGCGGATCACTGAGCTTGGCAAAGACGCGGACTGCCAAAGATCGGCACCCAAGTGGCAGCGACGGCAAATGGCATCCGCAATCTGACGATGAAAAACATCAAATTTCAATCAGCAGGGTGCATTTTAACGATTTAACCTCACGATTTCCAATTTTCCAATGCCTCCAAGCATTGGTGGTCCCGGCGGATATAGATGGCAATCGGCACCTGCATCAGGCCTCGCCTTAACATCGAGGCCGAGTTTGGGCACGCAGTGCTTTCTTCTGTTGCAAACACTCAGCACAGCTCGACTTCAGCTGCGGGGCAACGTTCGGAACGCGGATTCTCGGGCATTCTCTTCCCAAGACAGGTCAATTGGTCTCAGGCATTTGACCTGCAAAACAGCTCTGCATAAAATCTGCGTGAGTGAGACTGGTTGATCTGGATGTTGCAACTGGCCTCGTCGCCCCGGCCGATGATCTTTCGTACGACACCCAGGCTCTTCTGAATGTTTGCCTTGGTCCAGGCAATTCGAGCAGGCACGGCATAAGAGGTTGCACTTCTGCAGGCTGGGGACTTCTCCTTCGAGAGTTTGCAACTTCTTTGGTGTCACCGCCTTTGGCGAATCCACGTCCGGGATGCCTTTCCCGACTTCTAGGTTCACCTGGAGGTTGGCCTCCGGAGTCGAAGGATCGAAGCTGCAACACGTCTATGAGATGTGTCAACAGTGCTCCCCAAGCCGCTTCGACAATCTCGCGAGGCAGGATGCCTTGGTTCACTGGCCAGGAGAAGCCAGCGTCGTTAGGCGAGGCTCAGCGGGCTAACACCTGTCTTCGCGAACGCAGCCTCCTATTGCTACTGCCAGCTTGGCTGCAGATCTGCGTCCCAACCGGCTCGAACAGTACCTGTGCGGGAGGATAGCTGTCAATGCCAAAACATTGGCGAAGACTGCAGCTGAATTTGATGTCAACAATCACTAGCCGCCAGGCCTTCATGGTTCCGACGATGGCCCCGGTCGATAAAATGTATGAAGCGCTAGCTTCTGGAGCCTCGTGCGAAACCCCTACTCTGATTGCCAAGGAATGCCCAACCCTCAAATTTTGTGGAACATGCTTTTTCTTTCAGCACCATCAAGCCAGCACCTCCAACCGATGGATAGCATGCCATTCTTTTTTCGAGTTGTGAACACCGGTACCGCGGCCTGGTCAGACAAGACCATTTGCTTGCGAGAAAGGCGTTCCTGCAGAATGTCCTTGCGAAGGGCTTGTATTACATCCGGTCAGGGTGGAGGTCTGCGCAATGTGACGTGTCCTTCTCGATACGTTCCCTCTGCTCCACCTCCGCCAGCTGCATCCACTCCGTACTCCTGGGCATCGTTTGCTTCAAAAGGCTGCTGCAAGGCACGTTGTGAATCAAAAGCATCGCAGCTCAGCAGCCCGATATGCTGGCTGTCCATGTCTACATCCGCCTTCCGCGCCTCACTGCAGAGCCATTAGACTGACTGTAATGGCGGTCCGGAAACCGCAGGTGCGCATACAAGTCTAGGCTGCTGGCTGTCACCATGCGGTCTAGAAGAACACTTCCGCATCGAAAGTCTTTGGCTTCCTCTCGGGCTGTTCGAGTCGTCTCTGTCGCTTGCTTGCAGCTTGCGGGCTCAACCCTGCTCTGCGATGCATCATCAAGAGTGGCCTGTCAGTAGGCTTGTTATGTTGCACCCGGGGGTTGTATTCAACCCTCTTCCCCGAAACAGTGGCGGCACAGTGAACGGCCCTGTCGACTTTGGGGCTCGCACGCTTACTTGCCCAAGAAGCTCTTCTTTTGGGGAAGGGAACTGCATGTTCTGCCTCGTCTGTTTATGATCAGGGATTCAGCGAAGCAGAGCCGTGATTCGTAGTGGTAGAGTAGTGTCTCGCCTTCGTCCTCCACCTCCCCATCCCCGTCGTCGCAGACGCAGCAGCAGCAGTGGGAGGAGCAGTAGCAGCAGTAGTCGTCGTCGTAGACGTAG